AAATAAACCGATTTGAGGATAGCAAATAAATATATTTTTAGGTGAGAAAATGATTTTTATAGTTTTATCCCTTGACGTGAGGACAGAGAATTTCAAGAAACCAAATGATGTAGTTTTTCGAGGAAATAGTAATACTTGATACAAAAAACACGCCCTACCTGCCAGGATCTTCGAAAATTGTGAGATGCACAATAGCGCGTCGCGTTTTCGCAATGTATGAGTAACACCGGTAGGCGGTGTACAAAGCGTACGCCTTCAGAAGTGTGTAGACGCACGTGAATATCATTTTTATGATCAGGAAGCGGTGGAAAAATTGATCCGAGTTTTCTTCGTCGTTGTCATCTGGAATTTTTGATTTTTTTTTTGCCTTATTTGTTGATTCTAATGTAAAATCTTACCTGCTATGATAAAAAAGAATAACAGCGTCAAGAAAAACGACAGGAACATGAACATTCTACAACAAACACCTATCATGTAGACTTCCATGTATGCTAATCCGAACGTCCGGACTCCTTGGATCAGGAAAAACACCAAAACTGGAAGAACCAAGAATTTAATTATACCTATCCATCATTTCTCGTACCTAATTGAATGCAAGTAAACGTGAATCCGGCAATTATAACATATGGAGGAAAGGCCTGACGAACTATACTTTCTGCTGTCCAAAACGAACATTGAGATACTATCCACATAATTTCCCAGTACGCAATCCACAGGGTTCCGGTCTGAAAAATAAGTTTTTCAATTTCTAGTCACTTGCGAATTGTCAAAAGTGAGAAATCTAAGAATCTGACTATTTGAAAAACTTATACTTCANGATTTTCAGAAGCAAAAAGCTCACAATCAGCTTACCCTGATGTGCATGACTTTAAAGCAGCATAACGGGGAGGGGAGTTTTTTGACAACTGGATAGACACCATTTTCATTGATGTGGAGTTCTTTTTCGTGGGCGATGCTCATCTGGAATTGCGGATTTGGGAAAAAAGACGATAAATAAAGCATTTGACTGAGAAAGTATCAAGGTTTTGTAATCTTCCTAGTAAAACGATAAATGCAATAGAATACCATACTATACTTCCACTAAAAGCTTGATTATCTCGATTTCTGTAAGAGATACAAACAATGTGTCAACTGATAAAATGTTGGTGATATCACGACACACATTTCATTGGTAGTCATATTTTTGATATGTCTTACAGAAATTGAGATAACTAAGCTCGAAGTGCAAATATGGGGTCGATTAGAGTGTTTACGATATACTAGGCTCCAATTATTTCTGTTCGGAATTTAGTATGTCGGGACTCTCAAAATATCATAATCCCATTTTTTCAATATTTTGAAGTAGCAAAACATCGAAACCAAAAAATCTGAGAATCTGAAAAATTGAAAATTTCAGAATCTCAGAATCTCAGAACCTCAGAATCTCAGAATCTCAGAACCTCAAAATCTCAGATTCCCAATTTTTCAGAAGCTGAGAATTTCAAAAATGTAAATACGAAAATTCTGAAAATCTCAGAATTTCCAATTTCTAGGACTTTTGAGTTGCAAAATCTTTAAAAGAAAAAACATCATAAAACCGGAACAATTGAAAAGGTCAGACTCTGAAAAACTTCCAAAGCGAATTAGCTTAAAATCTCAAAATCTAAAAATTCCAAATGAATCTCAGTCCAATCTTGAAGACATTCAAAAAATATTTAGCAAAACATTATTGTTATTATCTCACTTTCAAACTCAAAAGCCTTTCTCTAGCCAACCCGTTTTTCCTATCCTCGCGGCATGTTGTGTGTACTCGGCGCCAAACACTATGCAACATGTTTATTCTCCCTCCTTCTCTCCCTCCACTACTAGCGCCAGTCGGCAACATGTGTACATGCTTCGCTTCTCTCTAGTCGTGCGGGGGTATAGCTCAGTGGTAGAGCGCTCCCTTAGCATGGGAGAGGGCTGGGGTTCAATTCCCCATACCTCCAGAAATTTTTTAAATTTTTTTCTAGAGTAATTTTAAGCTAGATTTGTTTTTAGAGAATGAGGCAATTGAGTTTTCAAGGAAATTTTGGGTTTAAAAAATTATATTCAAAAATGTTCAAATCTGATAAGCTAAGTTTGAAAAAATGCGTTCCTGTTTTAGAGCACCAGAGACCCTTCCAAAAAAGAAGTCCTAGAAAAATTGAAAAAAAAAACTAGCCGATCGACCAAATTAGAAAATAAGCACACGTCATATCTGTCTAATCCAATTTGATTTTCTTTCATTCAAAATTTCTGAATTTGTTACCTTATTTGGATTTGTATAGACTAGTGAAATAGATAGAGACATTTAATTTCTCACAAGACGAAAGGGAAAAAAAAAGAAATTGGAATGAAAACACAGAATATAGACTTCCTGGATGTGACAATGACATTTTATTGAAAACGCCTACATTTTTATTCTTATGAATACGTGCCACCCCAGTAATTCGGTTTGCATTAATATGATTAGTTTTTGTGCTAAACTCCGCACTTTTTTAAGATCTGACTAATGCTAAAGAACAGAAAAAAAATAGAAATAGGAGAAAAAATTTGAACGGGTAGCAGGAAAAAAGTGGCTAGCCGCAAAGTAAGTAATCGGGATGGATTCTAAAAGAAAAAGAGGAAAAAGGACCTAAACTGAGAAACTGAGAAAAGTGAGAATGAGAAGTTCAGGAATGGAGAATTCCCAAAAATTTGGAATTTTGTTAACCGTCTGGAATAGACAGACAAATAAAAATATAATTCAAGAGATCTAGACCTTATTTCATATTTTCGCCATAAAACATCAATTTCAGGCTTAGGATCATTTCAAGCTCCCAGAAAATTCCTGGAAAATTGAGAAAGTTTTCTCAAAAACTGTCTAGGCAACTGAAAACAAAGAAAAGTACACAAGCAGAAAAATGAAGTGAATTTGGCAGAAAAACATGGGAATTGGACCCATCAATCTGAGTCATCAGAAGAACGCGGAGGAGCACAAAGTTGTCTCTCCCAGCTGAGGTCTCCCCAACTCCACAAAATGAGTTGTCCCAATTGAAATTTGAGGGATGAGCAATGTGGGGGGGGGGGACATAAAATCATGGGTACGTATATACGTATATAGGGTTCGTGTGACGGACAGTCGAACTAATTTGGGAGGACTACGAAACGTCGTAAAAAAGTGTTTTATCTGTTCCTTCTTTTTTCTTCTTCTCTCATTTTCCAGCGAAAAAAATAGCAAAAAAAAAAGAAGTAAGAAAATAGAACGTTGGGGGATAGAAAGTCGGAAGAAAATAGCCAAAATTGACATGACAGCCAGATGTCGTTTGTGTTTTAATGTGATTTGAGATTCGACGTTTAACTTTGAATTTGGAATTGATTTCAACATTTTTTGCAGAGCTCTGAAAACATAAGGATTATTTGAAAAATGCTCACCTTTGCACGGAGGACTCGGAGAAGATGTAAACAGAATATAGTGGTTTGACTGAAAAAGTTGGTAATCGAGGCAAAGGTTTTGGTAAGCATCTCGAATAGAATAATCATTAGATGATTTTTGGCAACGAACACCATTTCCTCAGCTTCTTCACCAAAGATTATAGAAGACAATTGCACTTGTTATTCCTTCAAAAACCACTTTCAGACACTTTCATAGCGAGTCTTGAAAAGTAGGGGGTGGTCCAGAGTTGTTGATCGAAAACTTGAAGCAGACGACTTGTGCTTTTAGTAGTTAAGTAATTGAAATATTTTGATGATGTTGATGATGAAGTCTCCGTCGGTATCTCTCTAATGTTCATCTCTGAATTTTGGGTTTTCAGTCATAAATTATTAGCCGTGGTCGGATTTGGAAGAGAAGATAGACACGATGAATATGTAAATGCTACACCAGCTGACGATGGGTTCTTGAACAATAATAATTATTATTTTCAGAAAATTTATGAATTCGTGTTTTCTTGTCTAGAGGAAGATTCTCTTTGTTCGGGTGAATGAATCATATAGGGTATCTTGCAAGCAGAACAATGTAATCTGCAAAACTTCCGGTTTTTTTTTCGCAAATTTCCGAAGACAGTTAATTTTCATTATTGGTTGAATCACAAATTCAAAATACTGGAAACTTTCCATATTTTGATATCACAGTATTCTGAAAATGATAACTACCATAAACAATCTAATATGATGACCTTTCAACTTTAAGCCATTCTATCTCGGTTCCTATAAAAGAAGACGGAAGTATGACAATTGATAAAGTTATTGTCATAATATCCCCAACATTTTATTGGTTGATTATTGATTTTTCTTCTTAGAAGAGTTTGGTGGAATAAATGGTTCCAATAAAATTTGTGGCAGTACGATTCAGTACGATTCTAAAAAAGTATAAATACAAAATTCAGAAATTTTCACGAAGAGTTGTTCAATACGAAACTTACTGAGATTGGCAGATTTTCAACTTTGATTCGAAATCTTCCTTATATATAAAACGCTAGGCGCGTCTGTCCTTCCTGAAGTCACGCTGTCATCTTTTGAGGCCGCCACCAAAACCGAACCCGCGGCCTTCAGCACAATAGCCGCGCACGCACACAGCTGCGCCATTAGTTCCACACCAGGAGAGGAGAGGGAGGGCGTAGATGATCTACAGTGTGAGAAAGAAAAATCGAAAAGTGTGGAGTGGAGACGAACAATTGAAAATGCTGAAAAGCGCCAAAGGAGGGGCAAATAGAAGGCTGGTTTTCAACAAAATTTCCGGGAAAAAGTGTCCGAAAAACAAGAGCATCGAAATCAAAATGAAGAACTTTTTTAAAAGTACAGGGGAGAGCATTCTTCTGAATTTGAATAACCCATTCAAAAAATATCAACTGATCTATAAAAAGTGATTATTCCTGCTGAACCGCTACCCTTTGTGACGAACACGTGAATTACTTTTTTTTCCAATTGATGATAGACTATGGGTACATGTATTACACAGTGTACGCAACTTTTTTGTTTTTTTTTGTGCGTTTTCTCTTCTTCTTATCTTTTAGATAGGAAGAAATTCGCCGAAACAAGTTCCAAAAGATAGAAACTGTTCATTATAGTGTCTTTGAACTTGTGTATTCGTACAAAAATGACGGTTCGATGACCTTGGTCAACTTAGAAAGTTTCGGTTTTATTTCTGAAATTCAATAAATCTAGAAATTGAAAGCTGCACTTTTGCTGAAACGGTTTCTGTGTAACGCAGCGAAAAAAAGTTTTTGAAAAAAAAATTTATTGTTTGAGATCGAAATTGAAATTAGAGATCGCGATTACAATTAGAGACCGAAATAGTTTTCCAAATATAAGAATGAAATTTAAAAAAAGAATGTTTCAAAATCCGTTGGGTTTCCTACATATTTACGAGCGCAGCACCTCAGTAGAGCTACAGCGATTCCTTTCTTTTCCTCTGTGCTGTTCTGAAAAAAAAACAATATTATTAGGAACTGATAAACAGCAATGAAACACACCATTTTCAATATTGTGAACTTCATTCTCTCTTTGCTGTTGTTATGGTAAAAGCCTATTCCAAGCACATCGGCTGCACCATGCAAGTAAACTACGACAAGTTTTCCGAATTCCACTTTTGTTGTCTAAAACACAATATAAAGAAATTCAGGTGTATTTCAAATGAATAAACTCACAGTTCTTCGAATTTTAATTTCAAAACCAGTTGACATAATGGTCATGTAGACTTTCTGATGGCTCCCAAATATTCCGGGAGTCGCAAGTGTTTCGTTCATTACGGTATGAAGTTTTTGGGCTATATTCTGAGGAATATGGTCTTCCGTGACAATCTCGGCCTCATTCATGTATCCGCAGTCAAACATTTCGGCAGAGAAACATCTAATACAATAGGTTTAAATTTTGAAAATTGATCACCAACTTACTGCTGATACGAAGATTCGGTTTGGGCACCGGTCATGACGAATACCTGAGACTGTGGAGCTCTAGATTGTGGAGCCTGAAATTAATGTTGTCAGGAAAAACCGCTGGAAAATTTGGAGTTACCTGAGGCTTAGGTTGAGCAGCGGCAGCAATGATTATTGCTTTTTGCTCCAGAAGACCAAGCTGTTGCATGCTCTGGCTAACTTTCTGTTGCCAACTAGTGCCTTGAGCATTTGTTGAAACTGCGATTCTCGAAGAAGCTTGTAGATTCAAAGAAGTTGGAATTGCCGAAGAAGTTGGAAGCACCGTAGAAGCTGGGGGTGCCGTTGAAGTTGGAATCGCCAGAACTGGATTTGGTGGAGGTCGATGGTGAGCAATGACTTGAATTTCATTGTCAGTGTCGCCTTGATTCTGAAGTTTTGGAGATGGAACATCTGATGAAGCTAGTTCAGTTCTGGATCCAACATCCTGGCATTTGGCATTCACCACTACCGAAACACTGTTCTCTCTGGCACGTTTTCTGCTTTGTTCTGATTTTTGCTCTTCTTCCATCCGTTTTTTGTACTGCTCTTCAATTTGTTGAGCAAGAGTTTTCGACGTGCAGTCTGACATGGCCACGTGGCTAGTTATCCCTGTAGAGCTACACAGCGTAGTAGAAGCCAACAAAGCCTTAAGAAAATTTTGATCCAGATTTGAAGATTCGTTCCATGGGGCAGATCCTAGCGTTAATAATCCAGCAGAATCTGCAAATTCGAAAACCAAGATATTGTAATAAAAATTTCACTAACCATTATTCGAGGATGATGATTCAGCACTTGACGAATGAGAAACAGGTGCGGGAACTGTCCCAGACGCTTTCATATTAGAGAGAACCTGCTCTTGCATTCGACTTAGTTCCAGGTTAATCATCAATTGGGATGTTCCCAAAGTTAGAGAACCACGTGGTCCTGAAAAATATATATTCAAAAATGCCAATTTTATTATGATTACCTGGAAGTGCAGTTGGGATAGAGAAGAGACCATGTTCCAACGGGTTGATTCCACGGAACATTTCCAAGATTGGTGTGGCTTTTGGTACCAAAGTCGAGGGTGCAGCTGGAGTTAGTTGATTTTGAAGGAGCTGCTCATTGATAACTCCGAGAGCATTGGGAAGTGAGTGCATTTGTTGCGGAGCATCCAGAACTTGGTTGACGTCCATTGCTTGTTGGGAACGTCCTCTACAACGGTCCTCACTTTTATAGCAACCTTAGAAGGCGGAGTACATCCTCGAATTGTTTCACTAGTTGCACCTATTGTATCCTTATCTCTTGTAATCATTGGGTAAAAAACAACACTCTCGCTGCCATCCACATGACTCCGCCTCCTGAAAAAAACGACGAAAAGTCGTTGGAAAGGGAAAAGAAACCATTTTCCTCTAGAAAAAAAACCAAAAAAAGGCGAGCGATAAGAGAAAGAGGTAGGAAAAAAAGTTGATGAGAGAAGATAGTTGATGGATGGCAACGAGACAGTTTACAGGAATCGCATGTTTTCTGATCATCCATTGTGTTTCCATTGACAGCAGCAGACGATGAAAAAGGGAGTGAGACACACAAAATAATGGGATGATTTTGTACGTTGACCCTTGGTTTGAAAGATCACGAAGAGTTTTTTGGGCTTATCAGAAATGGAAACTGGGTTTTTGTGGAGTGACGTCAGGAGTAATATCACAAATTCTACTGGGAATGAAAGTTCGGAGCTGTGCGAAAAAACTCCAGTGGCCGTGGCAGAAGGTTCTCAAACGCAATCTCTTGATTTTATATTCCTAATCTTTTTATTTTCTTTTTTTTCCAAAAATTTGAAATTATCTGAAAAACTTGAAAAAATATGTAAAAGAACTTCAAGGTTACTGTAACCTCAGATTTGTGATTTTTTGTACCAAAAATGAGAATTGTGCGTGAGAAACCCAGGTAGCCGTGGCTGAACAAAACTACCGTAACCTTAAATGTTCTCAATGGCAGATTTTTTTGTTAGATTTTTGTGAGTTATTAGGTGTTTTTTTTCCAAAAAGTGTTATGACTTGTTTTGATGGATATTACAGAAAAATACAGTAGCTTTAGTTCAGGAATTTTAAGCATGTCTATCCGAGTTTCTATTCCACAGCTCCGAATTTCCGATGAAGATGATTACATGATTGGGAGCCACCAAATAACCAATGCAGTTTTTTTTAAACCCCTAATTATCAACTTGCCCGATCAATCCAATTATCTCTTAAATTCCACCTGTATCACCAACAACAAAAAAAAACGAACACATGTTTGTTCCCAAAACTGGATCAACAATAAAATCCTATCTTATCTTATCGAATTTCGTTTTTTTTCAACTTGAAAAAAATTTAATTGAAATTGAAATTCTTATCAAGTTCGTTTTTCCGTTAGTTATTGTCAAACTTCAAAATTTTGAACTTCTTTTCTCATCATAACTTTTTTCCATGCTGACCAAAACCGTCTGAAAGTTTAGTTGATCAGAGTTCGTAGTGTCGGTTAATCTTCCCTACCATCCCTTTCCTTCCTTCGTTTTCTAGGTTTACATCAGGCCAATTTTCGAAACGTGTTCTCTGACGAATTCCAACCCCCGGTATCATGACTTCGCAACCCTTTTGACAATGGAATTTTTTTCGGAACCGTTCTGACTTTTCATCTCAAGAAATTGTAGATGGTTGAAGATGGTGATGACCTCATGACAAGGCAGAAGAGGAAGAAAAATAAGAAGATGCAAGAATTGTTGCCCAGTCGACTGTTGCTTGCCAAGATAGTCTGCGTAGCAACGACGCTGGTACTTTGACCTTTTTAGAAGTGGATGTTTGATAATGTAGAAGTTCGAAGAATGTAGTTGAACTTTTCGAGGCTCCAGTTGCAGCTATCTGGTGTGGAGAATTTCCTTCATTTCAGTCGGCCTTTCCGTTTTACGCAAATAAGGAGAGTAGTCAATCTAAAACTTACATACAAATCATCAGAAGACGTTCTTTTATCAATAACTTCTGAAAACCTTCTTCTCTGCACCAATTACTGGGCCGATTGTGTGGATTATAGACTTATTGGTGGCTGTTGGGCAAAAAGCACTTGTCCCATCACGAAGAGAAGCTTGACCCATAATTCGGACGGTACAACGATTTGGTGGTACAACGATGTACAAAACCCACGATTCGGAGAACGTTTTCCAGATGCTTTGTACCCTAATGACACCGAATTTATTCTACCCTCCGAATTATCTGCCGAGAACTTTTGCTGAATACGCCGCCTCTTAATACAATCATCAGCGAGCTCGGTAGTGCCTTCTCGGATCTTTGTAAGCGGCAGTGCTGCCGTTTGCTTTTTTGATCAGGGCGTTGTGAGGGCGTCGTGACAGAGCAAAAGGTTCAATAAAGTAGAGGATTGAAGAATGTACTCAAACTCTTCGAAGTTATGCCCCGCAGATTATTTTCGTGACATCGAGCTGATATTTCCCTTTCATTATATAGAGCAATCTACCACGTCGAAATCCATTATGATGAAATCCCACTTGTCTTGTCTTAATTCGGTCTGAAGTTTAAAGCAATTTCATTTTAGTTTAAAAGAAAATTGTTTACCTTGATTTGCATTCGATTACAAGCCTGTCGCGAACTTCTTGTGACCTCTGGATGATTTTGTCAAATTTATCACAATTCAGACATGCCCAATAGTAGAATACGGTCTAGCCGCTCATTTTCTCATGCGAATTTGTCGACAAGCAATCCTTTCTTGTCAGTTTCCTACAATATTTGCATCAAAATCACAAGCACAAAATCCCCCAGTTTCAATCAATTGTGGGTTTGACGAATTTCAAAACGAACAATTTTATAAAACTTACTGGTAGGTTTATCACGAGGTGTGCATTCGACTCATCAGTCGAATGATACGTCTTGATCTGATGAATTGTTGAAGGTCCCAGCTGGAGCAACAGTGTTACATTGACACGCCTGTATTATATCAGGATACTCATCAATTTTAGTGATTATGGCAAAAGTCTCGGCGAAAAGTATCTCTTGACTCCGATTGAACAATTATTCCTTGCTGTCGGCAACTGCAATTCTTCAATTTACTGCGATTACATCGAAATTCTCGAGAGGTATTGAGAAATTAGAAAACTCACATAGATTTCAGAAATAATTTGAAAATTCTCCGAACACAGTTACCACTCTCCCGATTGTCCAGAATTTTCTACAAGTACAATTAATAATTGTTCAAAACTCCATGAAGTGAATGTGATTGGCACATTTGCTTGGTCCAGAGTCCAGCTCCGTGGAGTATTAGTTTGATGGACATCTAGCCTTTCAAAGACAGAAATGATATCACGTTATCAACATTTAAACATGAACTTCAAAAAAGCAGATTTCAAAGTTTTCAAGAATTTTTTAGACTCCATTCCGATTACAGTAGGTGTGCTCAGTTGTCACCTAAAAATCCAGTTTTTTGTAAGCAGATAAGGCTATTCGAGTCAACATCTTATCCATTGCGCAGATCCTGAAAAAAAATATGAGTTTGGTTTTTTGACTCCTTCTCCCCTTTTGAATTCAGAATTTGAACTATACAGTATCTCCATTACACAAGAAAATTGTCACTGATTTTTGAATTCTCGTTCTATCTTCTTCTTTTCACTCTCATTTTCATTTTTTTTTCCGTTTTCGTTGGCTATCGTTCCATCGTTTTCAACTCGATTTTCTTTTTCATCAAAACCGAAAAAAACCAGTTTTGTAATTTTCCGCCCAAACCAATGAGAGAAAAGAGAAAAGGAATTTTTCAGTTTCTTTATCTCAAAACTTACTGTAAAGGGATGGTCAACGGTGATGAGACTGTTAGATCTAAATCACTTCAATATTGGGAACATGCGTGGCGGCGAAGGGGATGAGAGACGGAATTTGTTCGGAGTGGCGAGCTTCTGAAAAAAAAACAACAATTCGTGCACATTCAAGATGGGTTGTTTGAACGGGTTACTTTAAAGCGTTGAAAGAATCTCACCCTGTAGTACTAATGATAACTTGAGGAGAACTGTTTAATTCCAGAAGGTTGCAGCGTGCTCGAATCGGTGAAAAATTTGATCAATGTGATCCGGAAGCATCATTCTGTTTAAAGTTTTCTTCTGGAAGTGCACCGACTGAGCAAAAATCGTTTTTCAGTTTATTATTTCCAACGATTTTCTTCTTTGCAAGCCATTCTTGACTTCAAGTTTTCTACTCCTCTGCTGTCAGATGATTGCTGAAAAGTTAATTTTAATTTAAATAAGTTATCTCTTCTTTTTTGGAAATTCTGTCAATTTTATATCTAACAGCTCAACACGTGCTTAATACATTTACGCATCATCAGTCAAAAACAACGGGTAACATAAAGACTTTTAATGTTACCACGACATCGACAACAGATGAGGCGTCAATATTTTTAAGTTTCTGGAATACCGATTTCAGTTGATACAGGTGAAATTGGGCATGATGAAGTTAAAAAAAATAGAGAAGCATCAAGAACGTCCAATGCAGCAAAGGTACCAATGGTTGATGCTGATTCACGATAGTTAGGTCCATTTATCATTCTATTTGACTTTTTTTGAACAGATTAGGTAGCGGAGGAACGGAAGTGCTGCAAAAATGGCAACAATAGAAGCCCGAAATACAGATAACTTACCAACCGACATTCTCCATCAAACTTATAACGTCTGAGTAGATTTTGATAAATCCTGGCTGTTGGTAGTAGGATGTTCAGTGAAGTATCAGAAGTTGAAATTCGATGTGCAGTTGTCCATCGGAGGGTACCCTCAAGTTTCTCCGGACATCCATTCAATTTTCCTCTGTTTTCCTTGGCTTCAGTATTATTCAGATTTGGAATCATTCAGGTTATCATGATCGATCCAGCGAAACATGTTTCCTTTTTTTCTTTTTTTTCTTTTCGAGCAAGTTGCAGATGTCGAGACAATTGCTCCGTCTTTCCGTAGTCAGCCAGTACCGATAACTTTGGAGTTTTGGAGGATGATACCGGTAAACAATGATTCTGAAAAAATGGATTTTTTCAGAGAATATCTGGGATTCGCTTTAAGGCTTGTTGGATGTTAGAAAATCGCCATCATCGATGATATTGCGAGCAGATAATGTGTATTTCTTGTGGTGGCAGTATGCGGTCCAGTTGGAAATGAATTATCGAACGTCTCATAGACTTGGACGGATTCGACACAGGTAAAAATGCGAACGGATCCGTTTCGGTGTCCACTAGGTTTTCTATCCGTAACGGGTCCGTTACGGGCAGTTTCGCGAATCTGAGTTCGCGAACGGATCCGTTTTTTCAACATTCGCAATCGGACAGGATACGGAGTTCGCGAACGGACCGGATACGGATGCAGCTGGAGGTCGAGAAACAGCTCCCATGCCCATTCACGAACGGATCCGTTCCGGATGGCCGAGTTGTGAGGGACTAGCTTTCTCTTAACTCTTCCATCATATTTTTGCATCTTTTTTTTTGTATTTTTAATCTATTTTTGCCGTTTTTTCCAACTTTTCTCGGCAATTGTGCCGATTTCTGTCTATCAAAATTTTCGAAAGGCGATTCTACGATGAAAAAAGGTTTGTAACACAAAGGTAATTCTTCGAAATTAAATTAAATTAATTCGGAACAGCGATGATTTGGTTCGATACCATATCCAATAGAATATTGCATGTAGGTGCAGCTAACGATTGTGGACGTATCTAAAATCCGCTGGTGACCACAGTAAGCTTTTATACTGAAAAAAAGACCAAGTTAGACAGAGAAATGAGTAAAATCTTCAAAAAGGACTCACCAATTTAATATATTCTTCTCGATATGTGAAGAAACTAGTTGGTGTCGAAAAAATCCTCACTCACTTCAAGACGCTCTTTTATATATTAAAGCCATTCTTGCTTGTGTCGTGTGGAACGAATGACCGAGCGACCGAATGGGAACAATTGTGCGAAATATGACATACATAGAAGAGACAACAGACAACGGAGAGAGTGGTCCGTGCGCAAACGGCCGTCGAGGGACCTTCGAGTACTCGGCATGTAAAGGTCGGTGAATGCGCGCACAATATTATTGATCGACGTTTCTTTCTCTGTCAGACAAAGGCCATCTAGTCTCTCTTCCTTCTTATTGTTATCGTCTTTCTCAGTGGTTCGAATTCCCTTATTTTCTTTTCTTCGTAAAGCGTTGGCTCAGCAAATGCGCTCCACTGAGAGCCTGTGAAATGCAAACAACAAAAATATAAAAACAACGCGGAAAAACAATTGTAATATCGTTTTTTTTATTTAAAAAAACAATTTGAATTTTTCGATTTTTATCACATTTTTTTGAGCGAAACATCCTTGTTGGACAACTTCAATTATTCCCGCAATATTTAATTCGCCGATTTTTCAGATGGCTTCAACATCAGCTCCAATTCCTTGGTGCGGATTCGATGAGTTCCACGTCAAGCTTATCGAGTTTTTCCGTCAGCGTGCTATGCAAACTCTAGTTCCGTTGAAACTCCGCAAATTGTGTACAGATTTCCAGAAAGAGAACCAGATAAATTTGGGAATTGCTCAGCTTCTCCATCGGTGAGTTTTTTGATTTTCTTCGATTTTTTAATTGAGAAAAATGACTTTTTTTCAGTGCTAGACTAGTCAAAGATCGGATCCATGAATTGAAGGAGCTCGATATGGAGACTAGGATCAGAATGATGTTCGCATTGAGCGTTCCTGTCGACCTATACTTTGCAGCTGAGTATGTACGACAAGAGATTATTTGCATTTACATATATAATATTTTTTTAGGATTCGTGAACAAAAAAATGTGACTCTCGAATTTGATAACCGCAATCGGATTGCTAAATATACGAACGGAGGAGGAATCAACTTGACCGGCGTACATGTGAGTTTCTCTTTCAAATATAATACACAATTTTGAACATTTGCGTTCACCTGACCCAGTTTGATCCACAGTTTCAAAAATCGAAATTTCATTCGAATCATCGTATTTCCTCCAACAGAAGTTCAATCACATTGTCAATTTTGAGCCCAAATACCTCGATATTTGTTGAAGCTATCAAAAATCTGTCTACAGATAAGTTATTCATCACAGTATCACTAATGTTTTATCTGTTGACAATTTTTCGAAATTTTTCACAGGAGTCGAGATAATAAAGCTCAAAGTTGACAGTGAACGTCTATTGAAAGAAATGCCTCAATTTGAAACAAAACGCGACGTATGCCTCTTTTCCACACACGAATTCAAAGGGCCCGCCATCTACCTACTCTCTATAGTACCAGTGTTTTTCAGACCGGAGTTGGCTTCCGAGCAGTTTCGGACAAAGATCACACGATCCAAAACCAAATGATGGAGTATTTAGCAGAAAGATCAATGAAAGTCAACGTTCCTCTTCCAACTAAGACCTTCCTCGATGACTTCAAAAAGCACTTTTTCGAAAAGGACTCACTGGCCCGTCTGTGGAGGAGGTGATATAAAGTCGAGTAACATGTGACGATATTCTTAGTTTTTTTAGATACGATGCTGTCAAGTCGAGCATTTCTACCACGACTAAATACGACTTGAATATGCGGATAAAAATGATGTTCGTCTCTGGAGCCAAACTCCCGGAGCGTCTTCTTAGAGAGTAAGTGAATGTTTGGAAATCTGAGTAGGCAAGATTAAAAAAAAAAACTCTAATCGTGCTGGATCGTCCGTCTGCCGGGATTTGGATGTATTCAATATCTTATTTCAGGCTCCAAAACCATGCAACTATCCGTGTGGATGGAAAGAACCGGATCATTGAATACACACCTCATGGCGGAACATTTTCACTGAAAGGCGATCATATGAATTATGGAAGAAGAAAGTCAGTGCAGGAGGAAGTGGACAATACAGAAGTTGAGGATGATGCGCCGGAAGAAGAAGAGTTTCAGGAATTTGAGAACAGCAACATGGTTGTTCCAAAAAGAGAAGAAAGTGAGGAGAGGTGAACATTTTCATTTTCTGAACATAAATTTGTGTATAAATTTTTAGAAAATGCCGGAAGAGAAATGCCGTCGAAGAGGTTCCAGGTGTCAGCTCAATTAAAAGGGAGTGCAATGAAGAACAGAACTCGGCGAAGCATCTGGACCAGACACTCCCACAGACTTCATCCGCAGCTGGAATTGAATCAAGATCGTGAGTTTTCTTTACTTGTCGACGGGCCGATTCATGGCCGGTCGGCTGATAACTCGTTTTAAAAATGAAATTGTGAAGATAGAGCTAGGCAAGCTCTGCAACAACTTCTGTAAAGAATGAGCCGACTTTGAAAACGGTATCATGGTCTGGGCCAGCATTTTAGACAGACCGACAATTTTATCCGGCCCTGTCGTGAAATACGGGCCCAGACCATGATGCCCTTTTCGAAACCGGCTGATTCTTTTTGTGGGGTTATTCATTTAGCGAAAATATGTACTGAAATGCATTTACAGTTCAGTCGCGAAATGCTTTGAAATACATTTCGCGACGCTCATGCATTGAATTTCGAGGGCGCGGAAATGCATTTCAATACATATTTTCGCTAAATGAATAACCCCATTGGAGATTGTAGAGCTCGCCGAGTGCTAACGTTTAAAATGTGGTTTTTGCTCGGAATTTCAATTTTGAAGCGAGTTATCGGCCAGACTGTGCCGACTCCGGGCCGGCTCGTCCACAAGTATGCTGATAATAATATATTGAACTTTTTTATATTTTTTCAGATCCGAACCACTAGACGTCATCAATTGTAGAAACGTTTTGATAGCAATTCAAAACCTAATATACTCTTTGGATTCTCCTCCATTCCTCGACGAAGTCTTGCTGAAAATTGAGGAAACTCTAATGACCGGAGGTGAAGAGAAGATTCCAACAGAGGCGCTGAAATTGGTTCTAATCTCAAGTCTGGGAATCGGGAGTTGCTTTGCTGTGGATAACAATACGATGGAAGATTCAAAGAACTACCGGGAGTTTCTCCTACTGTACCGTTGCACTGTGTACAATCTCAACAAAATGGAGCAGCTTGAAGAAATTCAGCGCAAAATCAGGGAATGCATGGAGAATGCTGCGAATAAGGTATTGGAAAGACGTTATTCGTTTAACAACTTCACGCTAGTTTGGTTTTCAGAGACTTCCAGCAAAGGGGATTCGCAAGATGATTGAGAACGTTCTGGCTGTGGTTAATTGAGAATGGATTTAGACTTCTGCCTCTACAAGTTCTCCGGCCCCTTTCATTTTTTGTTCTGAATAATGAATCCCTTACGTCCTAATAATCGTACTTCTATTGCTGTTTTCTTCCTTTTAATGTTACTTCCTGATGAAAAATTGAATTTAACTTTTTTTCCTTGATTAAACTGTTAATTAAAATCTTGCTCTAAATATATAAATTCAGAATATCAGCCCCACAAAAAGAATCAGCCGGTTTCGAAAAGGGCATCATGGTCTGGGCCCGTATTTCACGACAGGGCCGGATAAAACTGTCGGTCTGTCTAAAATGCTGGCCCAGACCATGATACCGTTTTCAAAGTCGGCTCATTCTTTACAGAAGTTGTTGCAGAGCTTGCATAGCTCTATCTTCACAATTTCATTTTTAAAACGAGTTATCAGCCGACCGGCCATGAATCGGCCCGTCGACAAGTAAAGAAAACTCACGATCTTGATTCAATTCCAGCTGCGGATGAAGTCTGTGGGAGTGTCTGGTCCAGATGCTTCGCCGAGTTCTGTTATTCATTGCACTCCCTTTTAATTGAGCTGACACCTGGAACCTCTTCGACGGCATTTC